GAAAACATTGAATTGCGTCAGTTGCTGCGTATCTTTTTAATATGTTAGATGCAACTGTTTAACCTTTAACAAGTTATGCAAATGTACAGTAGGTGCATAAATCATGACTGTTAATTTCAAAAAGGAACCGACAACATTATTTTGGAATTGTATCCACACACATTTGTTTAACAGTTTTAAATGCAATTTATAATAGATTGTAGGCATAATTTCCAAACAAATATTGTTAGTTCCTTTTCTAACTAACAGTCATGATGCATGAATAGCTTGATGAAATGCGTTTAGTTATTACTAGCCTCGAATGTGACCAATTTCATATGTTAAGGCATTATTGGCGCCTACTGTATCTAACGTTAGCATTTAATGAGTATAAGGTTGAAATCAGATAAAAGATTTAATTACGATTTAAAAATTTGCGTACGTAAAGATTAATATATTTTTAAAATAATTATTTTTGAGATGCACGATAAATGTTTTATGGCTTATAATAACTTAGAATAATAAGTTTCTGCAATATAAATTATTGCAACTTTATTCTGCTAAAACGTTCTGTAAAACGTTTGCGTAACTAGGCAAAGATTAAATAGTTGCCTGAAGTCAAGGTTTTTCGTTTTGACTGCATAATTATAATTATAAAATTGGAGATGAAAAACCTTGACTTCATTATTAATGCGATTGTTTACTCTATATGCAAATATGTTTAACCTTTAGCAGACTTATCGATAAAATACTATTAAAAATAGCGAGTCTTGTAGAAGTTAGCGTAACTTAAAAAATATTAGCTAACATGTATTACTGTAAGTAGCGTTACAGTAAGTAAATCTTTATGTTATTGTTGATAAACTTTTTTGTTTATGGGGCTGGAACTTGAGCCGTCTCCGACGCTTGCTAGCGTTGCGACACCTTCCGAAGCTCGCAATCCATCAAGGGAAAATATTAGCGACAGCATTTAAATAACCGAGTTTAAAGTCCAAACAGCTGACGGACGAGACATACACACCGGCAAGAAACGCGACAAAAACACCCCAGACGATCCGCGTTAATAAAAACTCGAGCGCATTGTACTGCTAGACGTGCGAGCGTATATTGCACATATTCGTATATAATACATTAAGACAAAAATAATGTTGAACCAACATCAATGTAATTGAAATTTATTTTATTAATTCAATAATATTTTTAATCAAATTAATACACCATGTATTGATTTGATTAATAATGGAATTAATAAAATAAATTCTAATTATACTGATGTTGTTAATTCAACATTACTTTTTGTTCAGTGTATTGTTTCCACGCCGCTAATTATACGAATCGAAATCTGCGTAAGAACCCGTGACACGTCCACGGCTGAAGTATAGCCCACGACCTCGCTGTTAAGACGTAACTTCACCGATTACAGGTGCAGCAATTATTTCACGTCGGAATTCCGTAAATCCTCGGCCCGCGTTATCGATTATATCTCGATCCGCTGCGCGTCGATACAAACGCACACACACACGCAAACATTGTAAACTCACGAATTCGCATACATCTATACACTCACACATTGTACATCATCACACACACACAGAGAATAAATAAATACATTTTATTACATATGCACATGCCGATCATTATTTTACTCGCAACCTAGATCCGACGGCTATCCAAAAATTTCGCGGTACGAAAACCGCACGTTACAGTATTAAGCATAACAAAGTTTTAGTAATTAATTTAATTTGTATTTTAAATTTTTGTTGTCACTATAATTTCTCTCAATTGACTATTCAATGAAATATATAAAATATAATTAAATATATATAAAATTTTTTATATAAATAGATAAAAAAAATTAATTAATTGAATCTAAAATATAAAATAAAATATATTTTTTCAACCACTGTATCCAAAGCTTATTAATAACATCAGTAAAAAGTGTTCCAAGTCAAAATGTAAGTGCAAACCATCTTCTACAGACAAAAATTATAATATAAATTTTTATACAAAAGTAATCCGTAAGATATGGTTTCGTATCACATCTGAACAGATAGAAAAATTATAGAGAAAATTTTTTAAACAAGCTCATCGAACATAAAAAGATACTCTGGTATTAACTAGTGCAGAGTTAGTTAATTATTTAACAAAAGAGTTCACAGTTAAATAATTGTATATAACAAAAAATATAACAGACATAAATACTGAAGGTGTAAAGAACACAAAAAACGAAAAAATATTCAAAAATCTTTATATAAGAAATAATTAATAATGTAATAAAAGACCATCTCAAACACACAAACAAAACTTCAGACGAAATATTAAACAAAATACTCTGGTGAAAAAAACGAAAAAGATATTTAAATATAATAAAAAAATAGACTGGATACGCAAGAAATATCGGAAGAAATAAGTGTAGAAATGATGCTCTTCTAAAGTTTCGTTATCTCGATGTTTATTAAAATATACAATTTTATTCCGACAATATAGTATATTAAAATATACAATTTTATTCCGACAATATTATATAGTCCTCATGTATGACGCATTGACAAACTTTTCAGTATCGAGGGCTCAAAAAAGACTGGATAATTTCTCGAAATAAATAAAAGACTACGACTAAACTGCATTTACATAGGATCAACGATTAGAAATATTACTTTTATCTATGGTTTTATGTTAAGTTTTAATCAGGATAGGTGTCCGACAAGTTCCGAAAATTCTATAAACTTAAAATCTCGAAATTATTCATGATGAAAACTGAATTCTGGAGATACAATTGATTCGGTCGAAAGGATGAAATAATACCATGACAATTCCAGATGTTTCCTTCTTTTTATTATCTTCTACATTTCCATCTTTCCTCGAGTACTATTATTTTACGTAAGTATTTCCCACTAAGATTTTTATCTGTAATTATATGTATCTGTATATATTCAAAAATCTTATACCATTTTATCGATATAATCTTTGTCTTTCCTTTTTATTTAAATTATGAATTAAATAAAATATTTAATAAGATAAATTTTTTTTCAACGAAATATGAAAATAATATTTGTATAACTGCATAAAAAAGAAGATATAATATTCTGTCGACAAGGGATTTATTTTCGTCGGCAGCGAACGATCTCAAGTATCAATTGAGCTACGCTTACTATCAAAAGAAAACGGTATGTCACGGCAAAATTAATAGTTAAGTTTAATAGAATTTGCTAAAACTTATAATATATATGTATAAATATTATATAGTATAAATATTATATATATATAAATATTATATAGTAAGCAAATAAAACTAAATGTGTGTGTAATAAAGAGACTGATAATATTTTTCAACATAAAAATGTAGAAAATATTCTAAAGTTTTGTTAAGATTAAAGTTAAAATCTTTCTTATTTCTAATGTATCATACTAAAGCTATAATAAAGCAAATATATATAATAAAGCAAATAGGAGGAGGAGGAGGAGGAGGAGGAGGAGGAGGAGGAGGAGGAGGAGGAAGAGGAGGAGGAGGAGGAGTACGACTGATCCCGAACGATCGACATGTAATTAGCTGACTCAATAGAATACCAGTTGGTCGATGAGTGCGCTCATTAATGTGGCTCTAATGTCGTGGACTCCCTTCGCAAACTATCGGCCAATCTTTTAGAGCAGCAGCAGCAACAATACATGAGCCTTTTCGACGTGCATACAATTTATGCTCTTCTTCCATCATCTCGCGCGCTTCGTTACTTTTGCACTCTCTCTCGTTCAGCATCCGTTAGTACGAAGATGTCCACCAAAGTTTCGAACAGATCTATTTGTGATTTTTTATTTATCGATGTTGAAAACTGACTAGCATAATGAATAATAATAATATTTTACGAAATATCTTTCATCAGAACATATCAGAGCAAGTAACAGTGCATGAAAGAATTGATATAAAAAGACTGTCATATTTTTAAAATTAATTTTATATTCCGTATGATAAAATATTTGTAAAGAATTTAGATTCGTAAGATTATTTATAATGTATAAAAATTGCGATATTTCTTAATATATATGTATATATATTGTATAATATTATTATATATATATTTCTCGTATAATATTATTATATATTAATTTTGTATATTATATCTTATTTCGTATAATATATTATATATATATATATATGTAATATTTATGCAAGATTTACATATATTATAAAAAATGTATGCGCGCGAGAAATAGAAAGAGAAAGAAATGATATTACCTAAACCAAAATATTGCAGCTACATTGCTGCAATGTTGTAATATTGCCGCAATATTGCTGCAATATTCTGTGTTTGCTAGGTATGTTATGTGTTGGTATACATTTTACATTTGAATATTAAAGAAAAAGAGAAAGGACTATTATAAAAAATTGAGTCTGGTGTCGAAACGGTATAAAAATGAGAAAGACAGAAATAGACGACCAAAAGAAACAGGAAAGATACACTGTTATATTTTATATTTAATTCATACATATGTAATGAGTGATTGTGTATCTTATGCCATTTTATAAAAAAATGTGACATATTTATTTCTTGCTAAAATGATAATAAAGCCATTTATAATAGTTTTTAATCTATTTCTCATATTTCTTACATTAAAAGTGATAAAAAAAGAATCTTTTTCGCAATAATTTGCCTATAACATAAGAATATTTTTAAATTTTTTTGAAAGAAGATATAAGGATAAAAGTATTTAAATTAAATGTTCTCGTACATGCTATCACATGAATACAAAAGTCAAAGATATCATCTTTTAATACATCAATTATGATGTTATAGCAAATGACATACAGTATTAGATTTAAACAAATAAAATTCAAACGTAAAAGCAATGATTGTACAAATTATGACGTTATAGCAAAAAATGATGAAAACCAATTAATTCAATCAATTGAAATTCATGTTATTTATTTATTACAACTGGAATATATAGAAGATGTAAAGAGTATTAAATAAGGAAATTAAGTATTTAATATAATGAAATAAGAATTAAAAAAAAAATTAATTATGTTTTGTGTGTGATTATGATAATTTATTATTGATCTTAGCTCATTAAGACATATCGCCGAAATCATTAGGCGACCGTATATCATCGATTTTTAGAATCATCTTAACTAGCTGCGTAGCCAACAGTATCTGTTGTGTCTTGCTCGTCAGAGTTTCGATGACGTTCTGTCTCTTCATATCTGTAACGCAATTTATGACAATTTAAATATCAATAAAATAAAACAACGTATAAAAGTATAAGAATTATACGTACTCGCAGTGCCTCGATTTAAACAATCGATACCAAGAGCGGGATTTTTCTCAGCTAATTGACGCGCCTTGATTTCTGCTATGGTATCCACCGGAGAAAGACCAGCATTTTCCGCGAGTGCCATGGGGACACTCTCCAGAGCCTCGGCAAAGGAACGGAAGGCATACTGTTCCAGAGTGCTGATTTTATCAGCTTGCGCCGCACATGCTAATGCGCAAGATATTTCCGCTGCACCTCCACCGTATAAGATCTTGTTGTCCTTGACTACGTTACGCACGGTACACAATGCATCGTGTATTGATCGTTTTGCCTCTTCAATAATCTAAAAGCATAAAATATTGAAGATTGAATACACAGATATTCACAATTTTATCATAAATGAGAATTTCTAAAATGTTTAAACAATCGGAAATAAATGTTGCATCACAAAAAATCGATCTCAATTAATAAAAAATTGTGAACAGTTTTTATAATTGCAATGCAATGCTATTGCAAGGTGTCTGGTCAGTTATGCGCATTGAAAAATAACATACTGAAATTCTCCTTGCACAAAAATTATTTTTATCAATAATTCATCATTGTGTACCATTTTGTTGCCGCCACGGATAAAGATTGTCACGGCGCGAGAATTCTTGCATTCCTCAATGACCAACATTCGATCCTTTGTTGTCCCGAAAGTTAATTCCCTGACGACCCCGGCATGACCAAGTTTCTCCGGTGTCAATTCCTCAAAGCGAGGTACAATACGTCCACCAGTTGCAATGGCGATAAGCTGAAAAAATAATTTAATTCTTTCATGTATATCTTTATATGAAATACATAATATAACAAGAAGATAACGCGATTACTTCAGATCTCATAATCTTTGGATCATTGGAGCCACCGCAAGAGAGCTGGATCACTGATTGTCTAATTTTGAAAGCATTTACATTTTTCTCGAAAGTCAATGTAACATTAGCTTACAGAAAAGACTGATACTATCAAAATCAAAATCAACCAGTTTCCAGAAGTCTCACATCTCCTCTGGCACTTTTTTCTCATCATTAGAAAAATATGATAATTGCAAAAGCATAAAAATAAGTAAAATAAAATCGATTATAAATCTAACTAAAATAAAATTACAAAATCAATACTCACTTCAATTTCTGGGCCACCAACCCATCTAATCGCAGGCAAATTGTTTTGTAACAGAAGATGATTGGCTTCATCGTCGAAACCCCATTGACAAATAGCCAGTGTCGCACCAGCATCTTTAATTTGCTTCACCATTTCTGTGAATTTCTCGCGCTCGTAATCACGCAAGGCTCTGTAATCGTCGACCGACGTGACATCCAACTTATGCTTTGTTTTGGGTTTCGGCGGCTCGAAGGGACATGTTAGGATGGCCAATTTGACATTTTCTAATCTCTATATAATTATAAATCAAGTACAATTATATAACCGTTTTTTTTTATTGTAAAATAAAAATCTGACATCAAATATTTTTCAAATTTTACCTTTGGCATCTGTGGATGACTGAAGTCCTTGTCGACAACGACACCACGTACCAAGACAGTATCTTCCAATCTACCACCAACCTTTCCTTCTATCTTGATTAGTTCAAAATTAACATCGCGAGTAACAGGATCCATAACTGCCAGCACAGCTTGTACAGCAATTTCTGCCATCTGTCTATGATGCTTGTTAACACTGTGAGAGAATAAAATATATAAATAAAAAGAAATTATAAACATCTGTGAAAACAATAAAACTGCTTTATTACATCTTGGAACCAAGTGATGTCATAGCAATGTCGATATAAGGCTCCAAATTTTCTGGGGTCCCTTTAAAGTCATCTGTTATTGTCTTGAGATGTTCGGTAGAGCATCTCGCTGCTAATTCGAAACCATCAGCTATTCTAATTGGATGAATTCCCTTATCTAATAATTGTTCAGCTTGTTCCAGAAGCGCACCAGCTAAAACAACTACTCCAGTAGTGCCATCTCCAATTTCATCATCCTGAGATTTCGACAGCTGAACCATAAGCTTGGCAATTTCATGGTCAACGTCCATGTTCTTCAGGATTGTAGCACCATCATTGGTAACAGTGACATCTCCATCGGAACTCACCATCAACTTATCCAGTCCCTTAGGTCCTAAGGATGTTCTAAGAATACTGGCCACGTTACGTGCTGCCAAAATATGCGACTGCAATCAAAATATTTTTCTATTTATAACATTTATTTCAATTTTCTATTAAAAAAAAATTATATATGTTATTTAATGGGACTTTATTTTACAGAATTTTATAAATTATAAATTAATGAAAATTGTCATCTTGAGAAATTAAAATATTAATTATAATGAAAAAATGAAAAGTTATATATCATGAAATGCAAATTTGTCATTCTTGCCTTCCGTAATTTCGATGATATCTACAGATTGCCTTATATGGTCACAAATCCGTCAAAGGGCGGACATTATTCACGGAACATGTGAAAAATTCATTCACGTTTCTCCCATTTACAGATATGTGAATCAGAAGACAAAATTCGAGAAACAAGAGAAATACTACCCACAGAGAATTTATAATCGAAACTTCTCTTTTATTCGTCAAGCCTAAATGCCGCCATTAAATGTTTCACGTGGCCGAGTCTTGAGAGGCCGCAAATCATCAAGACGAGAGGTTCGACGTATCGCGTCATCCATGAGAGAAACCTCGCGAAATTATGACCGAGACGCGATATAAATCGGGATCTTCCTCGTCCGGATTTCTTACCTTGATCGCATCATGACCGATGAGTCGTTGCTGCTTCTCTTGGTTCCTCAGAATGATAAAAGGCCGGCCGAATTCGTCGAATGCCACGGTTCCGGGTATCGCCGTCATTTTGACAGTTCAACGCAACAGCAGATGGATTATCGAACAACTCGTCCTCGATCGAAATAGCGATTGTCTTGGACGATGTGACGCTCCCATTAACCGCTCGTCGATTCTACGCAGCCATCTTCCTCTTCTTCGGCAAATTGAACGACTCCGAATGGACAGCCTACGCAACCGTGAACGTTGTTTACGATCGAAATAGCCAGACGTAGATGGCGACAAAATTTCGAGATTGATTGAGGAACGAAAGCGCCATCTATAATCGTCTTCTCTTGTATAAACTATTTAGCGAAGATATAATTAACGGTAAGATAGTTTCAATGAATTTTTTATATTATCAGCCCATCTCTTATTAATATTTTTGACTGATTTTTTTCAAATATAATATTTAATATTTAAAATATAATATTTAATATAATATAGTTAATATAATATTTAATATAATATAATTTATATTATGTTTAATATAGTATTTAATATAATATAATATTTAATATTTAAAACGTATATTAAAATATATATTAAAAAATATACATTAAAAATATATTAAAAATATATTAAAAAATATTTTATACATATTAAAAATATATTAAAAAATACATATAATATTTAAATAGGACTTTAAATAGGTTGAAAACACACAACAAAATCTTTCTTTTTCTTTTATTTCCTTGTTACTTAATAGCTTCTATTTTTAGATTCTTTAGAATTTTATATAAATCGTGTCCTGAAACTTCTTTTCAATTTAATTTTCTTTATATTTTTTAAGACATTTAAATTACTTTAAATATGTTAAGATCAATATAAAAAGATATTTTTGCTAATCTAAGATTTTTTACCGAAAAAAGTCAAGTACTATAAAATTTCCTATCAAAAAAAAAATCAAAGTATCTCTCGCGAAATTTTGGAATATCTCTGATTCGAAACAACCTTTCGCCCTGACATCGACAAAAGTATCTCTCGTTACACTCCATTCATTTATTCCCGTATCGTGAAATAATGAAAAGCCGGGGAGAATCGAGAGAGGCTGCAGAGGACGACCAAGTATAACGGTCAGGTAGTATAAACTTTGACACCGACGAGCATTATCGCGATAATTAAACGAACTGCAGTCCACGTCGGAGAGAGAAAGGGAGAAGGGAAGAGGAGGAGGAGAAGGAAACTGCGGAAACTGAATACGAGCGGGAATACGAGCAGGTTCGCTCGCTCTCACGTGTTCAAATATACATCCCCCGTCGCACTTTCTCGCCCTAAACTTCCGTTAAAAGGCTTCGTAACGCACGGGTTATAGCTCCAATATGCAGTAAAACCGGGATGCCCGGTAACCGCATGCATCTAAAGCGGCCCTGCTCGCCCTTTGCCGCCCCTCTCCCACCTTTGCCCCCTCCCCCCCCCCGATCATATGATCACATTGCGAGCACTTTGCGCGACGTCAATCCTTCAAAGACCACATGCCGGACTCCGTTTACCAAGCATGAAAGGCATTCGCGATTGACAGATTGGAAAAAGCGCCGGTGAGTAAGAAAATAATAAAGAACGTGTAAAAAAAGAGAAGGTTTCGCGAGTTAAATTCGTATCCGATGAAAAATGTTTCTTCCGAATTTTGACGAAATTTATGGAGGCTCTGAAGAATAAATAAATATAATTATTGGATCGTGCTACTGATACCTTGCAATTTGTGGAAAATGACGTCTCTTTTTTTTTCATCATCTTTGCGAATGATATTCTTTACATTGTTGCGTTAAAGAATTACACGTTAATTTTAAAGAGTCACACTTTAAGGAGTTATGCCTAGTCAGCAAGTCGAAATAAACGTATTTTTAGGGAATATAAAAAGAAAAATTGTTAGGTATTTTTATTTCATTGATTATTATACTCGGAGCTGGATCATCTGAAATAAAAAATTGAAAAGAATTTAACTTTCGTATGAATTGATCTGGTTCGTGAACGAAGGATTTTACAAAAAATTGATTTTTGACAATGTGACAGACATTTGACGCAGAAATACGAATTTTTCGTGTTAAAACTTATCGTTCTTTTGTTAATAAAAAAAGAAGGTTTCATCAAAATTAAAATCCCTTCGTTTACGAACTAGATCAATTCATACGAAAGCTCAATCCTTTTAAATTTTTTATTTCAGATGATCCAGCTCCGAGTAATCTTGCTCACCGCCTCCCAAAAAAGATGTCTCTGGAAAATAGCTACTGTGCTTACATTTCTCGATATTTTTAATTGAAAAAATTATGAAAACTTCTTTGATAGATATATATTATGATAAAGAATCGATGAAATAAAAATACCTAACAGTTTTTTTTAATTCCTCAAAAATACGTTTTTTTCGACTTGTTGACTAGGTATAATCCCTTAAGGATGTATTGGAGATATATTACAATCAATAAAATCGCCATGAATTTTTAATTTAACATTCTTAATAACATTCTAAATCGTCATGAATTATTTCAAATTCTTTTACTTGCTCCTTTAAAAGTTATTAATTTTTGAATTTTGCGATTTTAACATAGGATCTTATGTAAACGTTCAAGAGACAGGTAATAAATTATTCACAAACTATAAAAAAACAATGATAAAAATTTCATTTTGTAATATTATATTCTTCATACATGTAAAAATGTTTCCACAGAGTTTTAAAACGATTTACTTGCTCGTTTTGAAATTATTATTAAAAAATAACTGTGATTATCGATTTGACGCAATATTGATGATAAAACGTGGGAACATTTTCTTGAAAATTAAGACCTATTTATATTAAAGAATATTTTGAAGTATGATTTCGTGATTTTTAAAAAATTTTTGGTCAATTAGAATTCGTATTCTGCCCAACTTTAATTTTTTGGTACTTTGGATTAACTTTTGAGACAGACAGTCCATCCTTAAAGAATTATTCCTTTCGAAAACGAAACGGAATGGAACGGAACGAAACGGAATGGAACGGAACGAAACGAAACGGGACGTGGCGCGCACTTCATTCCGTGCAAAAAACGCTGCCTTCGCGTTGTTAAGATATCGCCTCGAAGATCGACTTAATTTTCCCCGCGTCGGGATCCCGGCTGCTTTACCGGTTTAAGGCGCGTACCTGAGAAACGGGAATCCATCGGCGAGAAACATCGTTAAATTCTCGGTAACCGCGATGTGTAACACGCGTGAGAATAGTTCGAGGAAGTGACGTGACTTTGGAAATCAAACGTGCGCGTTTCTCCCGAAGCGATGGCGGCGAACGCGTGGAAAAGAGCCAGGCCGGCTTCTCGGAAGCAATTTCGCCATTGGAAAAGCGTAATTACCGGTTGGAAGCGTAAACCGTTGTCGGAAACCTGGCAGGCAGGTGAACATTGCCCGATGAGCAAAGTCCGTGTATCCCACATCTCGTTCAAGCTAACCAAGCAAGAAACAAGGTAAGATGTTTTCCGCAAAAATGTGCAATAATTACACTGCGCTTCGAGCAAGTATAATTTTAATTTTAATTACGCATAGAGAAAAGGAGAAAATAATTCGCGATTATACAGTTTCAATCTTCTCTCTCTCTCTCTTTCTCCCTCTTTCTTTCTCTTTCTTTTTCTTTCTTTACCACAAAATTTTGCAATAAATTTCGCGGGAAGAATCGAAGAGAGAATTTTGTAAAGGATGATTTGGTTTGTTTAATTATTAATCGTGAACTCCCACGAGATGATGCTGATGATGCATGATTAATCGTGATAAAGTGATATATGTGTCGTTCTAAAGTTATGCAGATGTAGTATCAAGCATGAATTAATTATCATGATATCGTATAGAGTTCTGCTATTTACGTTTAATCGGTTTCGATAGAAATTTCAGAACAAACCGATAGGTGGCGACATTATGATAAAAATTGCATTAAATGTGTATGATGCATTAAAGTTATTTATATAATTTTCTAATTTTTCTTTTTAATTATTATAAGTTTAATTATTATAAATAAATAAATTATATATATATATATATATATATATATATTTATTTATTCATTTATTTCAAATCTAAAACGAAAGAGAAGAGAAAGAAAGAATGAAAATATAATTTAAGTACAAGATGATTTTTTTATAAATTTTTCATTGCATATTAATATATATATTAATATATATTAATATATATTAATATATATTAATATATATTATTTAGATACACAGAGAAAAATGTATACTATATTCAAGTAAATATTATTTATTTTAAGTATATCATAAGTTTGTATATCCGCAAATATATCATAAGTTCACCACAAGCATTAAATTTAACTGAATATATTCTAGTAAGTAATTTTAGTAAGTGCAATATTTTAGTCAAGAATATTAAATTAAAACAAAAATTTAGTTTGCTTGCTACAAGAGTTGACGTAAAATAAGTTTGATTTTTCTTTGACACAACTTTACAATATTCTTGAAGAGAAAATAAATTCTTCTTTTGAGTACATGATAATGAAATTTTCTAACACTTGTGACGAGTATATTTTAAGACTATTATCAAGAATATATTCTTTGTTGAAGAAAACTATTACTTAAGAAAAGAAAAATAAACTGAGTAATCACTTTTCTTGGCAGTAGAATTATATTTTTCTCTGTGTATATATATCATTTTTCGTACAAAATATTCATCATAGATTTACTAAATAAAAATTGACATTTAATATTTTATTATATTAAAAATATATATTATATATATTATATATATTATATATATATATATTATATATATTTATATTATATTAAATATATATTATATTAAAAATATATATGCAATTCGCATTATTTTAACGGTTTATTTAGGAAACATGAGATTTAAATAAAACTTGCAAATTATCGATCAATAACTATACATAATTTTACATTTGTGAGATCTAGGAAATTTTGAACGAAAGAAATAGATACAGTTTATTGTCTTGTCAATGTCGAGTGCACTAGTGGAAAATCAGAACGATCGAAGCAGAGGTTGAGTACCGCTTTATCTTACACACATACAAATACACATACACATCAGCAGATAATATTAAGTGTTAAGTAATAACAGAATTTCATCCGGAGCGTGCAGCTGATAAACAAGCCTTATTATCAATAAGCGATAAATGTCGGCGCCGTTTTAAGAACCAGCAATATATCGGGCTAGCCTTATGACTCATCCAAAAATCACATGTGCAATTGCGCACCTGATCAGACTCTCCAATCTCTTCTCCGATACATTATGAGAAAAGAAAATCAGATAAAGCAAGCGATATTTATGGTCCATATTTTCTTCGAACAAAACGATTAAAAATACTCAAGATTTCCGTGATATTATGAGAATTATGAGAATATTTTGGCGAAATATAATCAGATAACAATCGTTTCTCCCAATTGGATCTTAAATGTCTCATCTTTCATCACATTTTAATTGAAGATTGTCAACATATTTCTTGATTAATTAAATTCCACGCACACGTGTATATGCATATTACAAACATATTATAATAAATATTAATTTTATTCAAATTTTTTTTATTTATTATTGAAAAAAATTTGAAAGAATCTACGCGCAAAATTAATTTTTTATACAATTTTGGAAAATATCCTGCGTGCATGGATTATCATATTAATATCATTCTTTTAAAAATTTATATTATTTAGTAATTAATCGAATAATAATTAATCAAGTCTAACAATCATACCTTTTTCTATTGCAGACCGTTTTCATTTTCTTCCGAAAAGCAGCAATATCCTTCAACGCAGAAGCAAGTCCCACTTTGACCAAGTAAGTCACTCCACGTCGTTTACTAAAATAGAAATGAGACATAACTGACGAGAAACATCTAAAACAATAATCGTTGAAACATCAAAAAAATTAGATAGGTCAAGCTTTAGCGTAAAGTTCTACGACGAAATCACGAAGTCACGATTATGACAGTTCGTTATCATTATCGTTCGTTCTTCAGATGACTGCAATCTATCATCTGCCAGTCAATCCTTGCTAAAGTCATTCGTGTTTTCGACACTTTGACTACACTTTTATTTTGTTCCCGTTATCTTATCTTATCGAAAAGCAGCAATCCTTGAAACGCGTCTACTCAAGAAATTTTTATGCAATTTATCGTATACAATTTTGTGCGTCACAAGAGGGCAAATATATAAATAACGTGCTTTACGATCCAATTAATTATTTCGCGATTTTATATCGACGATTAATTTCATTACACAACGAATCATCATCTCAGTAAGATTTAATCGGATGGATTAGCGAGATTGATTAGATCGCATATTATGGTCCGATTTGTATGTCAAAAAAATAATTAATTATTATTGTTATTCTAATTTTAAAAAATGCATATATTATATAAAATTAAGTTTCCTCGGTTTTTTACATTTTGACTTGAAACGATACATCAGCTTGTTTATGTTTTACATATCTACTATGTTTCGATAATTAAATGTTAAGAAAAATCATAATAAAATAAATATCACTTTGGTGAAAATAATTAAAACTTGTCATATCGGATGCGCAAATTTAAATATTATAAGTGTATTTGGAGCATTTTCGAACGCGATGAAGCAGCATTGGAGATTTTGTGTCACGTTAATATACAGAGATAAATTGCACAAAATTTATATAAAATATTGAAAGAGTTTTATACGAGATTCTCGAAATTATCACTTTTTTCCCACTCCCATTTTGCACAAAAATATTATAAACAAGAATGAAATAAATAAATAAAATAAAATAAATAAATAATTTGTTAAAATCTGTGATTACATATTAATCGTAGAAAGATTGCAAAGATAAACATATAAAAAGAAATGCTATCTCTCTATCATAATATGATTATATTCGCAGTCTAATCAATCGAAAAAACAATATCTCGTTAATCCCGCATTACATACATGATATCTCTTTCGCGTGAAAATACTTTTCTCTCACTTTTATATAATTAAGCTTCTATAATTCCAGAAATATCATTAAATATTTATAACTGATTGCGCTTCCGCAATTATCGATTATTTTCATCCGTTATATTTTTTTTTCCTTTACGGAATTAAATTAACTGAATATTTATACACGAAAGACTGTGTGCTGCAATATATATTTATATATGTCGGTATTCTGGATATAAATATTGTTACATATTTATATCTATATCGCGCGTCCCACGTGGATGCTCGATTGTAATTTTATTTCGCTGTCACGCGATGCGATCGTTATTTATTTTTTATATCACTTCGCAATACATATCCTCGTTAAAATTTATCGTACGAATCGTGATGCAAAAAAGGATAATGCAAATATTGAATTTTCGAGACAATTATTTTGATTGGAAAAATGTCACGTCCACACAATTTTAGAATCACGTACGAATAAAGTATCATAATAAATTCCGTTTACATTAGAATCTGTAAAGGACTCTAGTGTAACTCTCGTATATTTATTTCAATATAAATCATACATAATTAATCAAATTGCAATCAAATTAAAATAATTAATTATATATCAAATCATAATAGACTTGATTATATAAATGTCAAAGCCGTATTCATATTTTGTAAATAATAATAAATTACATTTGAGCCGAATACCTTCTGAACTTTAAAACCGGTAAAGTATTTGCACTTTCTGAAGCATCCTGTATTGGATACAGAATCCGATAATCGTGATGCTGCGTCGTCCTGGTTCATCGTTCGTTCCAAGTAATACCGAGTGACAAGCCTCGTGGCTGGGAAACCCACGCGGCTTCTCCCACGTGTGAATCGATCCGAAAGGACATCCTTCTCTCGACGAGAAGACGATGGTTTGTGTCCATGATCGGAAAGATCAACGAGAAAAGAACGATGCCGAGGAAAGTATCATAATTCCAATCAACCGTGTATATCGTCCGTCTACTTTCTGCTTGATAATTTCGATGATACGAGATAATTACGAGATCTTTTTAATGCTTTAAATTTTCGAAATATGTCCCGAATTTATCATTTAATAAAAGATTCTCTGATTAATAGAAAGGAAAGTTTGTAGAAAGGAGTCGAATTAAAATTCTATATTAAGTCGTCAATTTTTAATAATAATATTTTTAATAATAATATATAATTTTTAATAATATATAAATTCATAAAATATAATAGGTAAAAACAATTTATTAATTAAGGTGTCGACGCAGTTTCGGATAAGTGACTTTTTCTACGATGAAATTAATACAAATTTTATTTTTTCAGAATTTTAATTGGAGGGTAAATGTTTATTTTTATTTTAATTTACTTTACTTTAACACACTTGCACTTTTAACTAGACATATCTGCTTGTTAAAATTTACCAAAATATACAAATAATTTAACATTTACCAAAAACATACAATTACACTTATAAATTATTATTATTATTTAAATTTATTATTATTATTTAATTTTTCAATATTTTTAATTTAATAATTCTTTTAAAAATCCATAATCGCAAATTTTTAAATCACGTTTATGCATTGAAAAAAAAGTTAAGCACAATCTTTACAAAGAAAGTTAATAAGAGAGAATCATTTATATTTCTCATAAAATGATACTTTAAAAGATAACTTTTATATTCTTTCTTTTATTTCTAAGATGACATTATTATTTTCAATTTAATTTGTCAAGATTCACCGGCGTCATTGACATTGCGCAAAGAGAAGGTTAAAAGAAAAGGCGCATCAACGTCGAGATAGAATTAATTTCCAAGACTTTCATCACGTGCGACAGCGGACGGTAATCATTAAGAAAAGTATCACCCGGTGCTTCGTGCAATGTCGCTGATAAATTCTGACGTTAAATCTCTCTCTCTCTCTCTCTCTCTCTCTCTTTTTCTCTAGTTGCATCTATTTCAATTTATCATCCACGTTCACTGTTATTAGTTGCTACGCGGTTCATCTCATAAAAAAAGCGATAAGGATGGTCCCATCGGCGGACTTGGAATTCTCCTCTGCGGCATAATTATGTCGCAGAGAGAGAGAGCATAAATTAACATAGGGATATATATCCCAGCGACACGTTAGGACGAAAGAATTAAGCGCATCCTGTACACGAAGACCGCAAGGAAATCCCGTGTGTATCACATCTACCACTTTCCTCACCGCGATGAGACACGCAATATTTATCCTCGATTTTATCATATACCTTCCGAAGGACCTATATATGATCTAAAAGATCGTCCCTCCCTCCCCTACAATCCGCATAATTTATAAATGCAATCGGATTTTATAATTCATTGCCGAGATCTCATTCTTGGTAGACTCGTTTAGAAATATATTCTCGTATTAAATTTTGAGGAGGAACACGAAATTATTTCTTATTTTTTATATTACCTTTTATTTATTATAATTTAATTTATTATAATAATATTATATAATTAAATATATAATTAAAATATAATATAATTAAATAATATATAAACATCCCGCAAAATATATTTTCTCGATGTCACGATTATTAATCGCTTTAATTAGACCGAGAATTCCACAGATATCATTGCAAGGAATATTGAAACGAATTTATTTTTCAACTGGTCTTCGTATAAAATATTCTTCCAATAAATACAGTGCGATATTTATGTATTCGCGCCCATTTATTCTAATATAATATAATTAAATATATAATTAAAATATAATATAATTAAATAATATATAAACATCCCGCAAAATATATTTTCTCGATAGCATGATTATTAATCGCTTTAATTAGACCGAGAATTCCACAAATGTCATTGCAAGGAATATTGAAACGAATTTATTTTTCAACTGGTCTCCGTATAAAATATTCTTCCAATAAATACAGTGCGATATTTACGTATTCGCGCGCATTTATTCTTTGAAAATTCACGGAAATGTATATTCCAATATCGGTTTAAAGCGATTGGACACGCTTATAACAACAAGCCTGTCAGAAGAGAGAACGCATATACCTTTCAAAGGATTTTTATCCTATACGCGATTGGACATGTGCACTCTTTGTTCCCACGCTACTGCGCTTTAGCACGCATAAATAATGTATAGACGGCAAGGAAAAGAAAGAGACGTGGGTGTACAAGGTATATAGTGCCTATAGAGTTGCAAAGAGGGTCCGTAAAGCCGGGGTGTTAACTTCCGTCATCCGGCGTGCGAGCGTGAAGGGGTTTGTTTAATGAGGGTGGCTCGCCTCGATGCGGCGCGATCGTAAAAGCTAACGCGAGCACGCGCATTTCAGATTATTATTTAGCTGAACTTACGGCGATTAGCGCTGCTGGAATTATCACGACATTTCGCATCAACTTCAACCATCCTACCCTGAAGTAATCAGCCTGCACCTTGTACAAGTCGTTATTTTGAATATTAGTGCAAACACTAATATTTAATATAATAATTTTATTATAATTATTAAAATTATTTTATTATACTTATTAATAATAGAATAATAATTTATTATTTTATTTATATTTATATTTATATTAATATATATATATATATATATATATATATATAATTTAATATTTTTAATGGTTAATTTAAATAAATATTATTATAAAAATTATAGTTAAATAAATATAAATATAGATAAAATATATTATAAAAATTATATATTATAAAAATTATAGTTAAATAAATATAAATATAGATAAAATATGGACAAAATAAAAATAAAATAAAATATAAATATAAATAAAATAAAAATATAAATAAAAATATAACTATAAATATAACTATTTCATTTTCCCGATGAACATCTCCAAGCTACTAATGCTGCTCAACATTTCATTCCTACTACCAATGAAGTAC